ACCTCACGGATCCTCGACACGTTTTACTTGTAAAAAGTCCACGCTTATGGACCGACGGTTATATTTATAAAACACGCTGTGGTCTGTCGAGATGTTGTCGAACAACGGTTACGCGTCGATTTCTCACGCTTCATTTAATCGCGTAGCACGTGCGCGCAATTGAATCGCAGGCTGCAATAAAGCACAGGCTATATTTAGAGGATCGAAGCATGCCCGATCTCGTATGCACACGCGATCTGCATGCTTTTGGAAAGATTTAATCGCTACTTTCTCGGGCCGAGGGCTCCCCAGACCATTGAAGAGGAAACTTTCGTTCCCGCCCACGGGGGGGGGGGAAGCGCGAATTGCGTTTTATGATCTTTTTTTTTTACGCTGTACGAAATACGGCCGTTCCATTATCGGACTCGAGAAAATGAGAAGAAGCGATTGCGCGAGTAACCATTGTCCACATCCTCGTGGGAGGTTGGATAATAGTCCCCTGAAAAGGAGACGACTTTGCTCTTCTTCGTTCAAGAGAAGACGTAATCTTTCGCTTCCCATTGGAGAAAAGTACTTCTCGATTTGGACAGCTGATGCATCTTCGTAGAGTAAGATGTCCGGTTTTCATCGTTATCGACATCCCGCCAATATAGATGTACTTCAATAAATATAAAATTTACAGTGCTGAATATAAAATTCTTCGTGATCTCGATCGAAAGGAAAACGAGCAAAGAAAATCAGTTCCGCGAGGATACGGTGAATAGTAATTTTCATAAACGCCCGTGCACCTCGCGTTCGCGTTACCAGGAAATAAATCAGAATTTTTATTACACCCGATGAGGTACACCGTCCGCTTTCCGAGATGCGTAAAGATTATTTTTAGAAGGAGTGACTTCGACCGTCGTGGTCATTCTTCGTGGTCGTAGATATAAAGAATATTCGGCTCGCGACGATAGAATTGGATATTGACGTAACCGGAGACCTGTTCTCAGTGACGTAACATAACAGTCTTACGGAGGACATTTAGATCTAAAGAAAAAAAAAGAACACCTTCCTCTGATCCGAAACCGACGTGTTACATTCGTACAAGATGTCGCATCGAACGTTCCATTGTTAATTCCGAGCGAATATATCTCTGCAAGCAAATAATTCATAAATTTGGGCGAAGTGTGAAATTGTAGAAATTAAGAAAACGCAAAAATTAGTCTTAAATTAAGAAAAAATATTCTCATAAGCAAGAATATTATAATCTTTTTAAAAATTTTAGCCTTAATTTGATTGAATTTGTATTGATGTATTATTTGTACTCAACTCAACATTAAAAATCTTCTATGTGAAGATTATAATATTCTTACCAGGGAGTCTCTATAGTCTTGATTTAAAATTAAGATTAATCTTTTTTCTGTAGAAAGATTAAGAATTCATTTGTTATAAAAACATAAAGCTTAGATACTCCGTGAAATATCTATTGAATTAAGTTGGGAAAGATGCCAGATATATTTTATTGCGCTTGATGTGAACTTGATGATGATTTCCGTCTATCGAAGTACGATCGTAAGTGTAGTTAGATTAGATGTATCCCGCCCAGTCATTTGTACACGCCTATTTATAGCCGACGGTCATAATACATATGGAAAACGCGTGGAAAATTCTTATGCATGCAGCTTTTTCAGTAGCAAATCGCAGTCGTAAGTCGCGCTGTGAGAAGATTAAAATCCCCCTTCGCTTCGCGTTGAAACATAACGGATGGAGTTTACGCTGCCGGTTGATGAGATTAGATCGAGTAATCGATATATATATATATACGTGTTGATAAACACTCGTGAATTTCTTTGAAAAGGAGCTTAGTGTGCGTGTTTTGTTACATGACATTTAGAGAATTTAGTTTTATAACGCGCCATTGTTTGTAGAAACGCGCATGGATTTTCGTGTCGGCATCACGTTTATGAGGGGCAAGCACGACAGACGCTTTCTTCATAAAACGGGCAAAAACGTCCGAGGCTTCCGTAACCTGTCGTTAACCCAGTTAGGAATGCCGCCGTTCCAGTACACACACTGCCCACTTTTAGCCTGTTTCGCAATTCCGCAAGACCGACGAACTGATTCCCTAGATAAGTACGCAACAATTATTGTCGCAATTACAATCAATTGTGCCCGTAACTTGCAGGATCGAGCGAGAAAAAAATGCTGTCGTCTGCACGTGATATATGTATGGTGATCATACATTTTTTTTTTTATTCTAGAAAGACCACAGAACTTGAACTGTTCTTTATTTCAAGGCTTTATCCTTTAGATTTATTTATTTTCTCAAAATTCAGTTTTAATCTCTATTTTACGGAAAATTCTTTTCTAATTAGAGTTTCAATGTCTAATGTTGTACTAACAAATAAATTTTTAAAATAAAATATATAAAATATAAATATGTATGAATATAATTTTTAATTCTTTTAATTAAAATTATTCAGATTAGATCCAATTTTCATTTTTTATTATCTTGAATTATTTCAAATTTAAATCAAGGATTTGTTCCACAAATCAAACATAATCAAACCAGTTTAAACCTATCAGAAAACTGCATAATACTTTATTTTGATATACTAAAACGTAAGAAAATTTCGCAATGAGCAGATTTCTGACAGTCACAAACTTGGAAACATGTAGAAACGAAGCTCTAAAATTTTCCTTTATTTCTTTTATCTTCTCAAAGAAAATATGATCACCATAGATATGTCACGAATTGTTTATCACGCAGAATTTAAGATAAATCTTATTAATAAATACAAATTAACAGAATTAATACAGAATAATATATAAAAAGATTCAGTTTTTAAGCAACATGTGCTGATCATCAGTTTTCGTATCGCATACGTACACGAAAAGTCGGAAGATAATAACTTCGAGATTAGCTTCCGACTAATTAAACGTAGACGTAAGAAGATTTTTCGAACAACAACAAGGCCAAAGTCCGAAGAGTTTGTTCTCTCGGCGAAAATTCGCTCATGTCGCTTCCGCAGTTGCTGACCGCGCGAAATTTTACAGAACGGAAGGTGCCGATCGACCGAATGAAGGAGGAGGCGGACATTTAATTGCGAATCGGCGTAGGAGGAAAGACGCGCGCTGGAAGAACGGCGAGATAACTTAAGCTACATAACCGACTTTGTAGCTTACACGTAACAACGACAATTACGACGGCGACATAATCAATCCGGAAAGACAAGGGGATACACGAAGATAAATTGTGATCGTTCAATTGCTCCCCTTTTCGCAGCTCCCGCTGTAACGCAATCATCAAATGGAAATAACACTGAATGAGAAATAATGTGGGAATCGGGAAAAGAATTCTTTAAATATGAAAAATTTATTTGTAAATAGAAAGCGGAGAAATAAATTATTTGAATCGTATAATAAATTTCGATTTCGGAAGGTTCTCGGCGGCGTTATTCAGAAACTCTTATGGAAACGCCGAATTTCCGGAGAGGCTTTCCCGGAAATTCACAGACACTTGGAGATCCAAGAAGCTCCTCTGGGAATCCCTTTTAATGCATATCCACGCATGTCGCTCTTTGTGGAGGAGGCAAATATCGAAATTCCTTCTGAAGAGCTTCTTTCAGCTTCTGAGGTCAACTTTCATTGAAAAACGGTGTGATGTAATAGAGGTGGTTTGTTGTAATATAATTAGTGTATCAGCACGGCGCGCTCTCGGTGAGAATCGATCGTCGTACTCACGGCAAGTACGCACGCACGCTCACATGCAGCTCCGATACACGAGGCTGCATGCGCCTCGAATGCCCCGAATTCGTCGCATCTGGATCGAAAGATTGATACGGCAATACTTGAGGAGCAGCACATCCACGTAATCGTATACGCGCGCGTTTTCACCTTGGCATAAATTCTCGACTCTCGCGAGTTATACCCTATGCGCGTTCATTCATGGATAAACGTCACGTTCGCGTACACGGTGGAACCTTCACACAATTCGACGGAGGCGAATGCCGAGGATGCTCCGAGAATTCTTCTTTCCCCTCGCTACGATATGAGACGTTGAGAAAATTTTAATGTCACACATTTCCAATCAAGCTTTCGTTTTTTCGAGATCTTTCGAAGGTCTCGTCGCGAAAACGCCGCGAGCGAGGAGAGAAAAACATCGCGCGCGCCGTGGAATATTAATTGACCGACCTCCTATCTTTCTCGTCGCCGACTGATCGGAGCCACTTATATTAATCCGAAGGAACGTTTTTTTTCCCAATATGATATCTAATAATAAGCGCGAATCCTCATCGAAGGACGAGTCACTTCAAGGAGGATTCATAAAATTTTTCATCTACTTGATATTCTCATAATCGCGTTTTTACCTTGGACTTTTTTTATTTCACAGGCAAGTTTTCTTTCATTTCTATCAATATCTGTTATAATTTTTTATGTATCAAGAAGGCGAGAGAAGGATCTTTTTACAAACTCGCGTACGTCTTTCGTATCAGGAAATCGATAGGTTCGACGTACATTGGACATTTCGCCTCCGAGGCACGTTCGCCAACGAGCGGAGGTGCAAATATGGTACAACGGTTTCATTGTCGTCGCGTTTCGGACCACGTGGCGTCGATATATCACATCCGCGCGGATTGCCTTTGATGTCCCGTACGCGCGTACAAGTGCAATCGTCTTCCTGTCCGATTACACGTGGCCGATTCGCATGACGACCTCGACTCGGTCGACCGCCATCGCCATGCACTCAACTGTGTCAGACAATTAATTGATGACCACCAGCTGGATATTAAATCTCAATTATACTGACTGTTTTTACATTTAAATTTAAATTTATAAGAGAAAGTTCATAGAGAGAGAGAGAGAGAGATGAGTATTTTTTTTTTCAATAATTATTGGTCGAAATATCGCTTTGCTTTAAACGAGCACGAGTCGCTCGCTCTTCATCACTCCCCCTCATGTCTTTATAAATATTTATAAATAGCTCTATTATCGGTAGCGTAATTGTTCCCTTGATGTAATCTTAAGCGCATCCGCAGGATGGACGCACCGCGATGGAGATAGGTGACCGATCAGCATAGTAGACGACCCCAGGTCGTCCCGATTAATTGGCACATTCGCAATCGTCCTCGAGTAAGAGAAACCATCCGCGATGGCCACGACGGCGTCAACGGAGAAGATGGACATGGACAAGGACAAAGACTTGCCGAAGAAGAAGCTCATCAATACGAATCTGATATCGCTCAAGTGTCTTCTGTTCGTCTTTTTCGGAGGTAAGCGCCGGTACATCGGACAATTGTTTCAATTTACACGATCTCTAACGTGTAGATCATTCTCTTCTTCAGGTATGGGCTGTCTCTTTCCATTTCTTCCGTTGCACATGACAAGGGTGGGCCTGAGCATTGAGAACATCAGATTTGTATCGATGGTCTCGCCGGCGATCGCGATATTGGGCCCATTAATAGCGGCTCCGATCGCCGACAAGCTCGCCAGTCGTCAGAGCAACAATGACAAATCATCGACCGGACGCTACCTCCGCGTGATGATCGCCGTCGCTTGCGTTTTCTCGGCGTTCTTCTACACGCTGCTGCTGCTGGTCCCTATAGTGGACCGCGCGCTACCGACTGGGAAAGGTCCGGGTCTCAAGTTCAATTGCGATCGGCGCGGAGCGATGGTGAGATGAGAAATGAAAAAGAAATTAAAAGATAAAAAGTATCTTAGTTATACGTATCTTAGTTATACAGAATCAATAAAGTATTTGAATATTTCTAAATTAAATTTGAAAATTACAAGATTAATTAGAAGATTAATTAAAA